TATATATATATAAAAAGTCCAAGAGTCCATACTGATATAAATAACTGAATAAATGAATGGGCAAGAAAGGACAGTTCTTGCTTATAGAAAAATTGCAATTAATAAATGTAGAAGGAATAAGGGAAATAGAAAATTACCACAAGACCACCAGTAATAATTACTGCAGGGCAGAACCACTGATGGATGCTAAAATTAATGCTTACTTAAAATTAAGTTTGAAATGAAATAGAACATTTGTGTAATATAAAAGTTTTTCTCCATATTTACTAATTGTAACAGAAAAATTGTAACTTTGTAGAGGAAAAACGCAGAAGACACTATCTTCTATCAGTCATGTGATCAAAATTAACAATATTTTAAGTAATAACATATAGAAACATCATGTGCCCCTGTTCTGAGCCACTAAGAGGGACAGGACGTTAACCATGATCTTATTGCCAAAAATGTCCAGCTTCGATTTAAGAATGAAATACAAAGTGTTTATAAAATATTTATAATTTATAAAATATAAACTATACATCTATAAAATTTTACAAAATCTATAAAATCTTTTTAGTTTTAACAACTGAAACCCTCAAATTGAGGGATATACTATAAATCTGGCTTGGACTTTCCGAAGTGTTATGGTCCCAAAAGACAGACAGACTAAAGAAGTCTAAGGGAACATCACAATAAAATGAAACGTGGTACCCTAGGTTAGATCCCGGGCCAGAAAAAGGACGTTTATAGGTATGCTGTCAAAATGTGAGTGAGGTCAGGAGAGTCAATAGTGTTCCAATGCTGTTAATTTCCTGGTTTCAACATCTGTACTGTGACTGTCTGAGATGTTAAAATTAGGGGACGCTGTATCGAGGGTTATTTAGGACCTCTGCATTATTTTTGCCACTTTTCTGTAAGTCTAAGCTGATTTTAAGATTCATTTTTTAAGATTTAAAAAGTTTAAAAAGAATTTTGAAGACATTATGCTGAAGGCCAAACACGACAGGACAAATTATTGTAGGATCCCCCTTTTGTGAGTTACCTAGAGTAGTCAAATTCACAGAGACAGAAAGTAAACTAGAAGTGACCAGGGGCTGGTTATTATTTGATGGGTACAGAGTTTCAGTTCAGGGTGAGGAAGTAGTTCCAGAGAAGGGCAGTACTTA